TTGACCAACTTCTGACTGCAAAAGTTGGTAGAAATCTTCTATTTCCTCCTCTTTGGCTCTAGTTGTTGGTGCATATATTTGAATGATAGTGGTATTCACTGGACTTCCTTGTATGCGTATGGATATTATCCTATTGCTCACCACATTGTATTTCAGGATGGATCTAGAAATGACTTTTTAAATTATGAAACCAACCCCATTTTTTCTCACCCTTTCATTCCCCAGCATAGTAAATCATATAATCTTCTGATTCAAAATGTCCCATGCCAAGCATTCCATTTCTTAAATCTCTTGGGTAGGTGACACAAACTGAATCTTGAACAACCTACGGGAGTTAACCTAGGAAAGGGATAGCATTTAAACAGCATAAGTGAAAGCACAGGACTACTAATAAGGATTTTTTAATGGTTTGGATGAATTTTATTCACTTTGGAGTTTTAGATTGGCCATATAAGGTCAGGAGAATAGGAGCAAACCATTACAGTTGGTGGAGAGCTCTGAACTAAATAAGGCAGTATTAACAATGGTTTTAAGAAATGGTTCAGATATAATATACATTTAACAAACAGATTCCTGTTTAATGTGTGTAACTAGAAGAATACTGGTACCAACTGAGAAAGAGATTCATAGTTCAGGAAAACATTTCCTTTCTGTACTTTAGAAACTATAGTGTTGAGCGTCTCTATAGAAAACTCAGTATAATATGAACGTATATAAGAGATAATTTTATTTCCCAAACATTAAAAAGTGCTATTCATTCAAGATGCTGTTTTGTGTGTTTCAGGTATAATGAAATTTAAAACATTTAGGATTTTGATAGACTACTAGAATTCATAAGGTTATGGGGTTTTTTGGTTTGGTGTTTTTTGACTCAATACATATTTACTCTTGTAAAGTTTCATCTATTTTTCATAGCATTTTTAAGTTAAAAGAATGTGTTTAATGTGATTTCTCAATGTCTATCATATAGGAAACTAAAAGTTGTATTTTTTTTAGGGTCTTTTGAAGCCTATGGACCTTAATCGTGTAGTCAAACTCCTTGAAGAGACTGAAGAAGTGAGTAAATTTTGAGAGAAAATTCTTCTGTTGTATCATATATTTTTTTCTAAATCTCTTACTGCTTTCATTTTGTTTAAAACATTTCAAATAATGCATACTTTATCTATTGTTCAAATGTAGTTGTTGTTGTTGTTGATATGTGCCATTGAGTCACCTGTGATTCTTATCTTGCTCTATCATGACCCAGTTTCACTGTCTTTGACACACCTACTTCCATTTTCCTAGTCACTGATCCAATTAATCTCATCTGGGGTCTTCCTCTCCTGTGCTGTCCCTCCTCCCTTCCAAGCATGATGTCCTTTTCCAAGAACTGGTCCCTCCTGGCCACATACCCAAAGTATGTGAGATGGAGCTTCACAGTCCTTGCCTCCAAGGAACAGCCTGGTTTTACCTCCCCATGACAGACCTCTTTTATTCTTTTGGCGGTACATGGTATGTTCAATACTCTTCTCCAGCACCACAACTTAAAGGCATCGGTTCTTCTTCTGTCAACTCTAGTCATTGCCCAGCTCTCTTAAATGTAATACGAATGTGTTTAATAGGAAGGCTTGCTGAAACTGAAGATTACCTGAAGTGCTTGCTGCAGAAGGTCAAGGACTGCAGCCTTCAATATGAATTGGAGCTCAACATCAAGAAAACAAGGATTCTCACCATTGACCTGATTGGTAGCATCATGATAGACAATGAAGAGATTGAGATTGTTAACAGCTTCCGTTTGCTTGGCTTCACAGTCAACACTCTTGATACACACAGCCAGGAAAGTAAAAGATTAATTGCATTTGGAAAGTCTGCTGTCAGAGACCTCTTCAAAGTACTGAAGAGCAACAGTGTCAGCCTGGAGACTTAGATGTGACTGATTCAGGCCATGGTCTTCACAGTCACTTGCTATGCATCAGAAAGCTGAACAATGATAGGGATGATAGAAGGAGAATTGATGCCTTTGAGCTGTGGTAGTAGAGAAGAGTATTGAATATACCGTGGACTGCTAGGAGAACAAAGAGGTTTGTCCTAGAGAGGGTGAAACCAGGCTGCTCCTATGAAGCAAGGATTCTGAAGCTTCATCTGATATATTTTTGGCCTGTTACAAGGAGGGACCAGTCCTTGGAGAGGGAGGGCATGTTTGAGATGGTGGAGGAACAGCACAAGAGAGAAAGACCTTTGATGACATGGATTGATTCAATGGCTAGGATAATGGAGGTAGGTGTGTCAGAATCAATAAGATTGGCACAGGATAAAGCAGGACTGTTGTACATAGCATAGTTTTGAGTTCCAAGAGACTCAATTGCACATAACAACAACAACAACAAAGGAGGAGAATAGATTTAGTTTTGTGGGATGGACTAAGCCACAGTGAATTTAATCAGATGGAATAATTCAGAGTAAAGAATAAATCATTTAGTCTTAATTTCTTACTAAGGGGAAATAGGAGAAAAGGGTATCCTGGGGTAGTACCTAAAGTTTCTTAATATAAAAGTAGGAGATATTCACACTGTTGCACTATATACACACATAGCATAATGTTAATAATTTACCTTAAGAGAGACCTTTTATAGAACATAAGGACAATACAATGATTTCAGACATAAGACTCCAAGTTGAGAGTTTTGACATTGGGAGAAAGGATAATAATCATGTGTGCATACATGCTCACTTCCCATACACTCCTGAGATTATCCAAGAATTGACTGCAGGCCTTAAAGGCCAGCATGCGCTCTTAAATTACTACATAGTGTTTTCCAAAGAAGAGTGTATATTTTTACTAAGCGGAAAATGGCTGACCATTGCATAGTCTATCAAAAAAATTAAGGTCTTGCGAATAGTATTAAAAAATTTTAATCATTGTTTTAAACATTTATGATCTCTACTTTTTCACATAGAGAAAGAAGAAAACACAAAAGAAACACAGTAGTTGTTTAAGAATAGTTTATCCTTTGCAGAAAATAATTTTTATGTAAGTTATTGTTTAACCTGATCATGCTAAGCAAAACCTATCCTTGGACCAAAAGGCAGTCATCAGAACAGAGCAAGGAAACACTGCATGGTTCAAAATTGGGAAAGGTGTACGCCAGGGATGTGTCCTATCTCCATACCTTTTCAACCTGTATGCAGAACAGATGATCCGAGAGGCTGGGCTCTATGAGGAGAGGTGCGGCGTCAGGATTGGTGGAAGATCTAGTAACAATCTGCATTATGCAGATAACACAACATTGCTTGCTGAAACTGAGGAGGACCTGAAGCATTTGCTGCAGAGGATCAAGGACTGCAGCCTTCAATATGGGTTGAAGCTCAATGTCAAGAAGACAAAGATTCTCACGACTGGTTCAGTTGGCAGCATCAGGATGAATGGTGAAGAGATTGAGATTGTTAACAACTTTAGTCTGCTTGGATTCACAGTCAACACTCTTGGCACCAGTAGCCAGGAAATTAAAAGACGTATTGCAATGTGAAAGTCTGCTGCTAGGGACCTCTCCAAAGTACTGAAAAGCAATGGTGTCACTCTGGAGACTAAGGTGCTTCTGATACAGGCCATGGTCTTTGCAATCACTTGTTATGCATTAGAGAGTTGGACAATGACTAGGGAGGATAGAAGGAGAATTGATGACTTTGAGCTGTGGTGTTGGAAAAGAGTGTTGAATGTACTATGGACTGTCAAAAAACAAACAAGTTCATCCTGGAGAGGGTTAAACTGGGCTGCTCCTTGAAGGCAAGGATTCTGGGGCTTCATCTGACATACTTTGGACATGTTGTAAGGAGGGACTGGTCCTTGGAGAAGGGACTTTATGCTTGGGGGCGAGGAGGGACAGTGCAGGAGGGGAAGAACCTCTATGAGGTGGATTGACTCAGTGACTGGGGTAATTGGGATGGGTGTGTTGGAGGCAGTGCGGTTGGCACAGGATAGAGCAGGTTTAAGTTTGTTGTACATAGGGTCACTATGAGTCGCAAGCGACTCGACAGCACATAACAACAACATTGTTTAATTATTAATATAATTGTACTTTTAAAAAAAACATTTTCTTACATGATGCTCTTACTAACTGTTAAGGAAATGTGTGTACACACTCACATATACACTATACAAGCACTGCCCCTTTTACAGACAAATCTCTCTGTGTCTTTCTTTAGGTGGAATCTGTAGATGAGTTGCAAGTGTATAGAGTTTTTAGTTAGAGAAGGACAAAGAAAGCTCGGAAATTTTCAATGAAGTAAAAGTCTCACAGGCAGCAAGTCAAGATAATGATAACTAATTTGTTGCCAATAAGTATTGATCAAGTAGCCCTAGTGACACAGTGACTAAAGCACTGAGCAGTTCATACTCACCAGCTGCACCAGTGAGGAAGCTGTCACCTTTCACTTAGGCTTGATGTTGTTATTTATACACTACATACCAGGGCTCAATCGATAAGTATCCACAGTTTTTCCACTAGCAATTTAAGAAAATGTAAAAGATAGGTGTAACTGTGTCTTGAAAATACATCGCTGGACAGAATTTTTTTCCCCCTGAGACATTTTACTTGAGTCAGTAAATTGAGCATACGGATTTTAGAGTCAGATTGCCAAATTTTATTCCAGCATTACTACTTACATAGTACTGTAGCTAGACACCATTGGGTAGACGATGACTTACAATGACCTTATGTACAACAGATCTGAACCTTGCCCTGCCTTGCACCAACCTCGGAATTCTCTATCATACTAAAGCCCATGTGGTAGTCATTGTCTCAGTTCAGCTTGTTGAGGATCTGCCTCTATTTTGCTAGTCCTTTGCATTTCCCAGAATAATGTCTTTTCCAAGAATTGGCTACTCCTTAAAACATGCCCCAAAATATCACACAGAGTTTCATTCACATCCTTGCACCACCTACAAAACAGATGTGTCTGTTCTCTTGGCAATCCATGTGACATTTCGTACTTTTCTCCAGCACCACAATTTGAAAGCATCTTCAGTCTTCCTTATTCACTGTTCAGTTTTCAGATGCATAGGAAACAATTGTAAATATCATGGCTTGCATCAGGTATGCCTGAGTCATTAAGCGGATATCTTTCTTTGCTCTTTAATGCTTTGGCATGGTCCTGGACAGCAGATCTCCCCAATGCAGTGTATTTTTATTTCTTGACTAATGGTCCCATGGGTGTTGTTTCTAGATCCAAGTAAAATGAAATCCTTGACACTTCAGTGTTTTCTTCATCCATCATAATGTTGCCTATTGGTCACATGAGCATTTATTTCTTGTTGTTGAGCTGTAATCCATATCATAGATTTAAGTTTTTATCTTTTTCAGTAAGTTCAGTAAGTACTGCAAGTCCTTTTCATTTTCAGCAAGCAAGTTTGTGTCATCTGCAGAACAATGTTTGTGGTATCAGGATTGGAGGAAAACTCATCACTAACCTGCATTATGCAGGTGACGCAACTTAGATATTAGCGATATGATTTTGAACAAACTACATAAAGTGTTTCAGCTTGAGTTTCCTATTCTGGAGAAGAGGTGGTCGTGGTGTTGATTGCCGTCGAGTTGAGCACAACTCATAGTAACCCTATGAACAAGAGTCCTGAAGCCTTTCTATAACTATCTTCATTTATCAAAGTTCATAGAGTTTCCAGAGGCATGTTGTTTAGGAAGTGGATATCAATAAAAAGAGATAAAGAGTTCTGATGTTACAGTGATTAACACTTGACCACTAACAAAATATTTATGAGCTATTCAAATCCTCTAATGTATCTTTGAAAGAAAGATATAGTAGTCTGCTTTGACAAAAATATATAGGCCTTAGAAACTGTCCTATGAGGCAGAATCCACCTAAGAGCTGTAGAGGTTTTACTTAATAGTATATTTAGACAGGTAATGAAATTGTGTACATATATTGTGCTAAAATATATTGCATGGTATAAAATATAGGCTCAATATATTTTAGCTAATGTTAATATTATTTCTGGTACAGTTACTGCTTTTATATTAATCTAGCTAGATTCACAATTTTCTAATGTAATTTAAGTGGTAATTTATTTTATCTTCATTTTTTCACAAACTAATGTTTGTAGCATAATGATTTACGAATTCATTGATAATTTTAATAGATCTACCTTCTTTCTGAAAAAAAATGTATGTTAAAGATTTTTTCTTAAATTCCAACAAATTTAATAGCAGAAAAGAACCCTGAAGGCATATTCCTTGGTGTAAATCTAGGTGTGAGAAGGTAAGGGCAAAACTTCAAACTAATGTTATTATTGGATTAAAATCACAATGTGCATTTCCTATTCACTTTTAGGAGTCATACCCTCTATGAATCAGTGAGTTACTCTTTTCTATCAACCTCATATTTGGACCCAGGCTAATAGAGCAATTTCAAACTGGAACATTGATTCTATTCCAGAGATAAGATAAAATGTGATTCATTATAATTTGATAGATATTCCTCTGATACTCCGTGCTTTTAGTCAATATCCATCTAGCATTGGCTATAATATCCCTAGTACCATGGCCTTTTCTACATAATTAGTTCTATAAAATATAATCTATATGAATGATTGTATGAAACACAATGTATATGAAAGATTATACAAAACACAATGTACATGAATTAAACACCATGTATACTAATTATTGAATGAAAACCAATAAAAATATTATCCTAAAAAAAAAGAACTAACTTAGATCATTTGTTTTAGAGTGACCTAGAAGAAAAACAACTTCAATCTGTCAAGAAACTGGTCCAGTGTTACCAGAATGGATTTGTATCCTTTACGTGTGTGTGTGTGTATTTCCCTTGCACTAGGAGAAAGCTTATTATAAAATGCCTTAGTTTTTCATTGCTACTATAAATTGTACTGCTATTAAAAATGTCTTTATTTTATCTTATTTTATTATTGTGTGTGTGTGTGTGTGTGTGTGTGTGTACTGTCAAATTGGATCTGACTGGTACAGGAGGCGATTGCGCCTCCTTCTCCAGCAGAGCATTAGTGGATTTGAACCGTGCACCTTAAAAATGTCTTTGTTTTTGTAATGCTGCTATAAATCACAGATCTGTTGGCTTAATGTAAGGTTCTGAGGGTACAAGTCCAACTGAGTCTCACTGGACTAAAGTCAAGGTCTTGGAAGGGCTGGTTCTTCCGAAGGCTTTCCTTTCCTGTTCTAACTTGAAAGATTGTCTTCATTCCTTAACATTTCTCTCAACTCTGCTTTCATTATCATGTCTTCTCCTCTCCATATCCCTCTCTTTTTCTTATGAGGACCTATGTTATTGCATTGGGCCCACCAGATAATCAATTAATAATTGATTCAGTGACTGATGTAATGGGGGTGTGTCAGGAACAATAAAGTTGGCACAGGATAGAGCAGAGTTTAGGGCTGTTGTACATATGGTTGCTGTGGGTCACAGGCAACTCAATGGCACATAACAACAACAACTTTAAATGAAATACATTTCCAGTCAATTTCAACCTTAGATAAAAGAAAATACATTTGAGTTCAGTGTTAATAAAACAATGCAATAAAGTAGTATAAGATTTAGGTTGTTTGTTCCCTAATAGTGTATTTGTGTGTGTGTGTGAAGAATACCACTAACCAATATTTCATCATTCACCGCCAATAATAAGTCACTTATAAACTGACTCTATACTGTAGTTATTGGTAGACTAGCTCCAATGTTGTGGTAATGAGAAAGTAATAACATTATTTTGAAAAAAAGAGGGTATTGGAACAAAAGTTGAATGATACTCCTTCCTGTTAACATTGTATGGTCCGAAATTTTCCTCTGTATTTTTCAAAATAAATATACTTAAATGTGTCAACCATATTTAACAAAACCAGTAGACTCTTGTTTAGGCAGAAGTACTTTAAAGAACATACTGAATTAGAATATTCATCTTATTTTCATTTCTTAACTAAAATCATTAAAGCCTTTAAGGGATTTAGCACAGATATTTAAAATTCTGAATCTATGTACAGGAAAAATTGAAAACCAGCCTAATTTCTTAGAATGTGCTTGTGACATCTTGAAATTATGTGGGTAAGTAAAATTATATTGCATTATCAGCTTGTCATATTTCATTGTATTCTATTTTTGTGTCACAAATAGATTACCCATATGCTTGAGCAGAGTAAGTGGCAAAGTACTAAGACACCTTAGTACTCTTTCAAAGTGCTTAAGAAACCTGAAATTGATCCCTTAATTCAGCAATTTCTATTCTTAAACGTGGTCAGTTTTATTATAGTCTTATATTGCCACCCAAAGGGATTAAACTAATCATATTAAAATATTTTGTCTTACAATCCTTTGCTCTCAAGATGATCATAAATGTTAGATGAAACAAAGAATTGTAATGTTCCTGGTGAGTCCTTGGGTAATCTAATAGAAAATGTGATAGAAAAATTTGTCTTAATTGATAAAATTAGATTCTAAAAATATTCAATCTTGTGTCTTATTTTATAAATATGAGTAAATAATAAAAATTCACAATAATTTTTGTATTTATTCTGAAAAATGCAAAGGTGGAAAGAAAAAGGTTAAATATATTAATCCTAATTTCCATTGGATTCTTTACCTTTATCTTGTTGTGGTGCTCAAGTATTTCATAAATTCTGGATATAAGTCCCTTATCTGATATGTTATTACCGAATACTTTTTCCCAGTCAGTGGCCTCCCTCTTTACCCTGTTGGAGAAGTTTTTGAATGTGCATAGGGATTTGAGTCTTAGAAGATCCCATTCATCTACGTTATCTTCTCCTGGTTGTAGGTTAATCCTAATTTCCAATGCTGCTTCTCTAAGTAGTTTTGAAAATTAGAAATCCACCATGCTTCTTTGCTGCCACATAGTGGTTAAGATAAGTAGATGTTGATACAGCCATGTTTAGTCATTCTATACAATATGTTGTGTGCTGATTCTAACTGATGAAAAGCCAGTAGAACGAGCCAACAACTTAACTTACTACTTTCAAGTTGAAACTGATTCATAGCTGACCTCTAGCAGGTTTTCGGAGGCTCTAAATCTGACAGGAAGAAACTGCCTGGCTTTCTCTCACAGAGCAGTTGGTGGATTCAAACTACTTGCCTTTGGGTTGGCAGTGCTACTCCTTAACCACGAGGCCATCAGGATACATTAGAATTGTCTTATGAGATTTTTTTATTTATAATCTTTCCTGAAGTCATAGCCACTACTTTTCTCTTGTAGAACTATTGGTGTGTTTCAACTGCCAACTTTTTGGTTTAAAGCCAAGTGTTTAACTATGGAAAGTTATAATACATCTTTGCAAAGTGATAATAAAATAAAATTATAATCACTCAATTAAGTGATAATAAACCTTCCAGACAACTTAACCTTCTAAACATACCTCTCCATTTAACTCTTTTGAGGAGTTGTTTTTTTGCTATATAAATAATGATACTTGTTAGTATTTCTATATATTCCTAGTAGGCTTTAACTCTCCCTTTTAAAGAGCAATAATAATTAAAATTGTGTAATCACTTATATTCATTTATAAACAAATCAGCATTATTTTTTCACTAGAAACACAGTTTAGCTTGTTTGTATTTTTTTTGATTGTTGTCAGTTACCCAGGGCTAAAGGATAGGCTATTATCCTCATTTATTCTTCAGAAAGGAATTTTTCCTCTGCCATGCAAATGATGTCACCATCAAAGAATTAATTTAAAAATTACTCTTAAATTCCTCATTCTTAATTGAAGCTTACCATTTTTGAAGAAGAAAGTATCGGATGAAATAACATATGCTGAAGATACTGCTAATTCAATTGCACTTCTGGGTAAGTTAAGACTTCTTTTAGGCAGAGAGATACAACATATGACAGATCCTACTGCAAGAAGAAAATGTTGAGTTTCCCTAAGTATATAGCTGTGTGGAAGAATGTAGCATCTAATTTCGCTAAACATACAGCAACTATTTCTACTCATAGTATTGGTCCACCGTATCTCAGAAACTCAATGCATTGTCCTCGAGTTGGAGCTGACTCAGAGCTGAGTCACGGCTTCAGAGACTGTAAATCACCTGGGAGGAAATTACCCATCTTTCTCCCATAGGGCAGCTGGTGGATTCAAACTGCCTGCCTTTGGGTTGGCAGTGTAACTCCTTGCCCAGTAAACCACTAGAACTCTCTTCTCCATATCTAGGCTCTCTTATTTTCAAATTATCAACTAATCATAATGTGCTTTTTCATAATTCTTAGATTATTTGTTGCCCACATATTTGCCTTAAGGTTCTGTGTTCCTTAAGTTCAAAGACATTACACTTACTTGACTTGATATAATCTAACGAAATACTTTCTTTACGTATCAGAACTTTCAGTAATAATAAAAAATTATTAATTTTGTATCCGAACACTTAGTTGCTATAGTCATTGAGAGTCTAATTATTCATTCAATTATAATATTTTAAATAGTCATAAAATGATGAATTAAAAGCTTTAGTATAATATAAATAGAAATGCAGAGGCTCTGTTTTGAACATAAAAATATGAAAAGAAAATAATAAAAGAGCAGGCATTTATACCTGAGTTACTGATTGCTAGAATTCCTAGAGAAAGAAAATAATAATTTCCTAGGAAATGAGAACAGTGAAACACTAGCTATTTGCGTCATCACTGAGACATAGCAATGTGTTCCACAATGACCCTACATTAAATTTATGCTTGTTACCTTAGGTTTTTATTTGCAAAGAAGAAAGAAAAGATACACAATTGGCCCAATAATTATTTTTAAATCCATAAGTATTTACTGAATCATTACATTCCCAGAATCATACTCCATACTAAGATATATTAAAAATTCAACTGTCTTGAATAAGAAGCTTTAAAAAATATTTGACATAGCCACTAACCCTTTTATATCTGAGTAAATTTTATGGTCTTCAGCATTACCTTGGGAGTTACTTTGAGAGAAATTACTATAGCGTACAGTTAAGTGAGGGAGTGAGCTCTGAAGGCCTAGTGGTAAGAAGCTACGTGGCAAACTCAAAGGCACACAGTTTGAACCCACCTGCTGCTCTGCAGGAGAAGGATGGGCTGTCTCCTCTTGTGAGATTCACTGCCCCCGAAAACCTGCAGGAGGGTCAGCTGTGGGTTAATTCTGACTCTATGGTACAAAACAACAGTGAGTGAAGGTATCAGAAAATGAACATAAGAGTGTGAGAAGTGGGCCTCAGAGATCAGACAAGTTGAGAAATAATGGGACATTTTAATTCTGTAACCCTCTATCGTAATCAGTTAAAAAAAATACAATGGACATCAACATAAAAGAGGGTACATGGTAGTATTAATTGATACCAAGTAAAACTTAGGTGGTAAGTTTAGAAAAAGGCTTACTACTGCTCTTATAATTTCAAAATGTTGCTCCCCCTGATGATGGTAATTGTATGATAAATACATTGTTCATTTCTTACTGTCAGTGTGCTCCTTATTGGACAGCTATCTGCCCACAGAGTATGTTACTCCCTCTCTTGAACTCTTTGATTAAAATGAGCTCCCTTCTCTGATTATTAACTGAGATGCTTCTGTTCCTTCATTTGTATTAATGCCTCAAAAATTAGTCTATACTGAATAATTGTGTATAAATAGTTGAATGAAAGATTATTCCTTATATTTTTTCTATTAGTAACTCCCAATTTCAGGTATGTGCTGCTGTTGTTCTTATGTGCTATCAAGTCAGAACCAACTCATAGCTGACCCTTCAGTGGGTTTTCAGAGGCAGTAAATCTCATGGGAGGAGATTGTCCATCTTTCTCCTGTAGAGCAGCTAGTGGATTCCAACCGCATGCCTTTGGCAGCACAGATCCTAACCACTTGGCCACCAGAGCTCCCTTTAATGAAAAGAGGGGTATGTCAGCAATTCCACTACTGGGAATATACCCTAAAGAGACCATAAATGGCACCCAAGTAGATATATGCATACCCATGTTTATTGCGGCTTTGTTTATAATAGCAAGGAATTGGAAACAACTCAAATGCCTATCAACAAATGAGTGGGTAGAGAAGCTGTGGTATATTCGCACAATGGAATATTATGCTGCATTGAAAAACAAGGAACTCATGCAATATTATTCAAAATGGGTG